TGTGTGTGTGTGTGTGTTTGTGTGTGTGTGTGTGTGTGTGTGTGTGCGCGCGCGTGTGTGTGTGTCTGTGTGTGTGTGTGTATGTGAGTATGAGGAGGAAGGGAGAAGCATGTGTCTAAGTGTGCGTGCATGCCTGCGTGCCTGCGTGTGTGTATATGTGCGAGTTCGTCATTGTGTATAAAGTACTGCAGTTAATACTATTATGCAACTTGTGGTAGGAAGATAATATTATGACGTAAATTTACTCACCCGATGAAAAAATGTAATTATAGATGCAGGCGTTCCTCGATCATCCATGCTGTATTTGTAGTTGTAGTTACTACTATACAGGTATTATTCCTTTGTCTACATAAATTAAGTAATTTAAAATGTGGCCTGCTCTGACCCGTCCTGTCTCTGCCAACCCGGGTTGCTTAAGATGCAGGGTCTCAATTTGAAAATGGTGTAAGTTCAGCACCCTAATCAACACTATTAGGTTATTTAAGATAGGGGACCCCCGAGTTTAACGTTCATCTCCTAAAGGACCCAGCCAAATGCGAAATTCGTGTAAAGTGTCTTTCCCAAGGACACAACGTCGGACAGAGCTGAGGCTCGAATCCCCGAACCCATAATCTCACGATTACAGGTCCGGTAGCCTAACCAATAGACCATAGAACAACGTCTCAGTTTCAAATACAACGAAATGACAGTGCACTCGATAACATGTCTCCCAACATTTTACGTGTGCGACGGCGAGTCCACCTAAGAGATACACCAATGTGAGGCAGCGTGGTGGAATCAGGCTCTCGTCAAAATAATCAACGCGAAGAAACTTTTTCTGCAGGTTTGTGAATTTTTATCAATTTTTTGTTTTTTGGTTCAACACCTTTCAAGCCCATTAAAGAACTCATTTCTGTGTGGATTTTTGTGAAAATCATTGAGTAAAGGTACAGTACATGCTCATTTTCAGTTGCCGAGACTCTTAAGCTAAGGAAATAACTAATCTATGGCGGCCATTTTCTCACTAATTTTACCTCAGAAAACAGTTTTTACCCACCTCCTTCATTCGTAAATATCTCGACTTCTATTCTAGATAAATGGATATTTTTTCCATCCAAATAAAGACAAGTGAACAAGCTTTAAGATGACACCAATAGCACTACATGCCCCAAAATTGACGAGAGCGTGATTCTACCACGCTGCCCCACCAATGGTGCAGTTAATCGCGTATTTGAATTCCACAAATTGTCATAGTCACAGCCTGAATTGGAGAATCTATCTTTTAAAATACAAACCAAGCAAGCCCTAAACAAGTTTGAGTTTGAGTTTGAATGAAGAGGAGCACATCGACACAATAATGATCCTTTAGTGATGGGGAAAAATAAGACAGAGATAGACAAACACAGCAGAAGGAACGTAAGAAGTAGGGTCTACCTGTGGGGCCCCCTGCAAACCATCCGGAAAACAAAACAAGAAAAGGTCATAAATGAACAGTTATAACTTGAAAAAAAAAAAATCCCAGCTGTTAAAAGATGGAATGATTTGCCATCTTTGATTTACTTAGAACTTTGATGTCTTTGGAAACGAAAAAGTGGACATGATAGCAAATCTGGGGGGTGGGGGTAGGGTGGGTGTGGGAGTGGGGGTGGGGGCAGAAAGAAAAATCTGACAACAGCATTAGGTATCCAACAATGAAAGCATTAATAAAAAACAATATCGTCATAATAAGCATTACAAATACCAAAAAACTACAATGAGCTGTCCCGCCTAAAACAATAATTGATTATCGGAAGTCTGTGATGAACATAGCACACGTAACAAAATAACCAATTATGTGCATGTTGTCACTCGCATAAGATATGCCTAAGTCATTTTTAGTTCAAGCCATTTTGTGAAAATGAGGGAAAAAAAACGATTTCTTTGGAACGACTGTCTGAAGGAATCGATTGAATTTTTGTACGTTATTTTGTCCGCGTGAACAAGTTGCCTCTGTACTTCATTTCAAAATCAAAATCTTCCAACCTGACAAAACAATAATTATTACACTGGCTATTATCTTATGAGCGTGACAATATGTTTTAAACTAGTACAAAGACAGAAATGCCCCAGTGGAGAAGCAAACCAAACTGTGGAACAGGAACCCTCCAGCAGTGAAGAAAATACTGAGCCCTGAGAGAGGAAACGTAGATAAACACATTAACACAACAGGGAAAGGTATACGGACCAACAGAAGGATTGGATAAGCCAGTTCAGTATGAAGTTGGATACGGAATTCAAGTGTGAAAGAAGAAGAAGAAGAAAAAGAAGAAGAAGAAGAAAAAGAAGAAGAAGAAGAAGAAGAAGAAGAAGAAGAAGAAGAAGAAGAAGAAGAAGAAGAAGAAGAAGAAGAAGAAGAAA